TGCACAGATTTGACTCGGGGGATATCAAAGAGATATTTATTTCTGGTACTCATGAGTTCTATTACACCTATTAAGGAAAAGTTTCAAATCAAGATTAGCATTTAGGAACAAGGTTTTGTACATGTAAATAGCACATGAGAATGAGTGGAGTGAGTTTATGTTTAGCATGTTAAGGGACTTGAACAGTGGGGCTGAGTGTTGTCTGAAGACAGAGTTTGTTATAGTTCTGATAGCAGATTTTTGCTGAGTGATGATGGGCTTAAGGTAGTTTGCAATGGTTGAACCCCATGCACAGATACCGTATGTAAGATGAGGATAGATTACTGCGTAGTATAATGAGAGGATAGCAGAGTGTGGAACATTATATCTGATATTAGAAAGTAAAGTATACCGATCTTTTTTTGATCTATGTATTGTATGTGAACTTTATAAGCTTTCATATAAAGTTCGGTAGCAGCACTTTGCTGTGTATACTACCAAAGTTAATTTGGTAGTTTGTGCTTGTTAATTATAATAAAAAAACTTTCGTATAGGCTAGGGCCTCACCATGTATAAATCTGGCCATGTATACGCTGAACATACATACACTAGAACATGTACTGAGAAGGATAACAAAGTTAATCCTAGGACTCACAAACCTTCCCTGTGAACTTCTTTATTTAGAGATTTAAAAAGTTTTTTTCAGGGAAATTCCAGCGCGGACCCTAAGCCTCTGGCTGGCCCACTGGGCGGGCCCTAAGCCTCTGGCTGGCCCACTGGGCGGGCCCTAAGCCTCTGGCTGGCCCACTGGGCGGGCCCTAAGCCTCTGGCTGGCCCACTGGGCGGGCCCTAAGCCTCTGGCTGGCCCACTGGGCGGGCCCTAAGCCTCTGGCTGGCCCACTGGGCGGGCCCTAAGCCTCTGGCTGGCCCACTGTGCGGGCCCTAAGCCTCTGGCTGGCCCACTGGGCGGGCCCTAAGCCTCTGGCTGGCCCACTGGGCGGGCCCTAAGCCTCTGGCTGGCCCACTGGGCGGGCCCTAAGCCTCTGGCTGGCCCACTGGGCGGGCCCTAAGCCTCTGGCTGGCCCACTGTGCAGGCCCTAAGCCTCTGGCTGGCCCACTGGGCGGGCCCTAAGCCTCTGGCTGGCCCACTGGGCGGGCCCTAAGCCTCTGGCTGGCCCACTGTGCGGGCCCTAAGCCTCAGGCTGGCCCACTGGGCGGGCCCTAAGCCTCTGGCTGGCCCACTGGGCGGGCCCTAAGCCTCTGGCTGGCCCACTGTGCAGGCCCTAAGCCTCTGGCTGGCCCACTGGGCGGGCCCTAAGCCTCTGGCTGGCCCACTGGGCGGGCCCTAAGCCTCTGGCTGGCCCACTGTGCGGGCCCTAAGCCTCTGGCTGGCCCACTGGGCGGGCCCTAAGCCTCTGGCTGGCCCACTGGGCGGGCCCTAAGCTTCTGGCTGGCCCACTGCGCGGGCCCTAAGCCTCTGGCTGGCCCACTGTGCGGGCCCTAAGCCTCTGGCTGGCCCACTGTGCGGGCCCTAAGCCTCTGGCTGGCCCACTGGGCGGGCCCTAAGCCTCTGGCTGGCCCACTGTGCGGGCCCTAAGCCTCTGGCTGGCCCACTGTGCGGGCCCTAAGCCTCTGGCTGGCCCACTGGGCGGACCCTAAGCTTCTGGCTGGCCCACTGCGCGGGCCCTAAGCCTCTGGCTGGCCCACTAAGTGTTGCTTGTTTCTGTTTTACTTGGGCGGAGTATGAGTATTTATGACTCGTATGGTCGCTTCAGTAAAATTTTGCCCCACGTGTTTAACAATTTCTTCTGCTCTGTTAAATTTAAGTTGAAATCTTATTGGGTTTGTAACTGTGCACTGTGTTAATGTTCCAGTAGTCTGTCGATAAAGCTAGACTTCACATTCTTTAGGATGAGGGTAAGGTAATTATGGGAAAGCGCTCAATGAGACTATATAGCACTCAAATAAAAGGAGGTGGGATATGAGGACAAGGAGGTGGGATATGAGGACAAGGAGCTGGGATATGAGGACAAGGAGCTGGGATATGAGGAAAAGGAGCTGGGATATGAGGACAAGGAGCTGGGATATGAGGAGAAGAAGCTGGGATATGAGGACAAGGAGCTGGGATATGAGGACAAGGAGCTGGGATATGAGGAAAAGGAGCTGGGATATGAGGAGAAGAAGCTGGGATATGAGGACAAGGAGCTGGGATATGAGGACAAGGAGCTGGGATATGAGGACAAGGAGCTGGGATATGAGGAGAAGAAGCTGGGATATGAGGACAAGGAGCTGGGATATGAGGACATGGAGCTGGGATATGAGGACAAGGAGCTGGGATATGAGAAGAAGCTGGGATATGAGGACAAGGAGCTGGGATATGAGGACAAGGAGCTGGGATATGAGGACAAGGAGCTGGGATATGAGGACAAGGAGCTGGGATATGAGGACAAGGAGCTGGGATATGAGGACAAGGAGCTGGGATATGAGGAGAAGAAGCTGGGATATGAGGACAAGGAGCTGGGATATGAGGACAAGGAGCTGGGATATGAGGACAAGGAGCTGGGATATGAGAACAAGGAGCTGGGATATGAGGACAAGGAGCTGGGATATGAGGAGAAGCTGGGATATGAGGACAAGGAGCTGGGATATGAGGACAAGGAACTGGGATATGAGGAGAAGAAGCTGGGATATGAGGCCAATGAAGTGGGATATGAGGAGAAGCTGGGATATGAGGACAAGGAGGTGGGATATGAGGACAAGAAGGTGGGATATAAGGAGGAGAAGCTGGGATATGAGGACAATGAAGTGGGATATGAGGACAAGGAGCTGGGATATGAGGACAAGTAGGTGGGATATGAGGACAAGGAACTGGGATATGAGGAGAAGAAGCTGGGATATGAGGACAAGGAGCTGGGATATGAGGACAAGGAGGTGGGATATGAGGACAAGGAGCTGGGATATGAGGACAAGGAATTGGGATATGAGGACAAGGAGGAGGGATATGAGGACAAGGAGCTGGGATATGAGGACAAGGAGCTGGGATATGAGGACGAGGAGCTGGGATATGAGGACAAGGAGGTGGGATATGTGGACAAGTAGGTGGGATATGAGGACAAGGAGGTGGGATATGAGGACAAAGAGCTGGGATATGAGGACAAGGAGCTGGGATATGAGGACAAGGAGCTGGGATATGAGTACAAGGAGGTGGGATATGAGGATAAGGAGCTGGGATATGAGGACAAGGAGGTGGGATATGAGGACAAGGAGGTGGGATATGAGGACAAGGAGGTGGGATATGAGGACAAGGAGGTGGGATATGAGGACAAGGAGGTGGGATATGAGGACAAGGAGGTGGGATATGAGGACAAGGAGGTGGAATATGAGGACAAGGAGGTGGGATATGAGGATAAGGAGGTAGGATATGAGGAGGAGAAGCTGGAATATGAGAAGAAGCTGGGATATGAGGACAAGGAACTGGGATATGAGGAGAAGAAGCTGGGATATGAGGACAAGGAGGTGGGATATGAGGACAAGGAGCTGGGATATGAGGACAATTAAGGAGCTGGGATATGAGGACAAGGAGCTGGGATATGAGGACAAGGAGCTGGGATATGAGGACAATTAAGGAGCTGGGATATGAGGACAAGGAGCTGGGATATGAGGACAAGGAGCTGGGATATGAGGACGAGGAGGTGGGATACGCGGACATGGAGGTGAAGAGGAGACATGATTGAAGAAAAAGAAAAAGGCGTATAGACATAAATAAGTGTCGACTATAAGTCTCCGTGGTGTAGTGGTAAGACACTCGCCTGGCGTTCCGCGAACGCTTTATCATGGGTGCGTATCCTGGTTAGGGAGGATTTACTGGGCGCAAATCCTTAACTGTAGCCTCTGTTTAACTCAAGAGTAAAATGGGTACTTGTTTGTAAAAACGATTCTTCGTGGGGGTCGAATTCCAGGGACCTGCCCGACACGTTACGCGTACTAGTGACTGTACAAGAATGTAACAACTCTTGTATATATCTAAAAACTAAATGTTTATATATATATCAATACAATTAAATGACACTTTTATCAATGATTTTTCTATTGAAGAAGTTAAGATCTCCCTGACTCTGAAGACCTAGGTATATACAGCGAGAAGCGGGGTCCACCTCTCTGAACAGATTCCTTGCTCACGTGGGCGGGGAGTCCGACATTTTGAATTGCCTTGACCTTTCCATCCCCATCAACATTATATTCAAGTCCCGATCATGTCTAACATTCATAGAGTAAAACGTTACAGTTGATAGATTACAATTGTAAAATCTTATAAGAATCATTAAAATTAAATAATATATTAATCCCAAAGTATAGCATCAAAACGTTATATTTAAGAACAACAATAATTTAGGATTGTTTTGTTCCGTCTCGTAAGGGAAGGCTCCACCACATCGCTCTATGACTCTACTCGTGGCAAATTTAACCGCAAATTTCGCGGAAAAAGAGGCTTAATATATAAATGAGGTTAGACATGGGTGGAGACCATGTTGCAGGTGTTGCAGTTATTGCTTTGTTAGTAGCGTCGTCTGCTGGGCGTGACGTCACGGCCCGCACAGCCATCCCACACTCACTCAATATCTTGACGTTTTATCTACCAATATTCAACTCCCTCTTTTCTATAGTAACATTCTACGTAAATAAAATTATAATTGACTATTTAATTTGGTTTGGGTAATTATAATATATAAAGCGGGAGAGATCTGGGATTAAGGCAGTAACTGTGTCACGTTATTTTCCCAGTTATTGAAACTCGATGCACATATTTGACTTCCATTACTATAATATACATGTACATGAAGGTTAAATATATTACACGTCTGATGCGCTAAAATCTGGTATGTACAGAAGGATAAATTTACACCTGTCATTTTTCATTTGTTTACAGGCAAATAAAACAAACAATGAAAACATATCGTTTTTAAATATATTCATGGTGGTGACCTGAAGGAAAGGTTGAGTGAGCAGACTGTTGGTGTTGTGATGTTGCAGTGCGGGAGCAGCCGGCAGTGTCTTCCTCCTGACACAAACATAAGTTCTTACCACCGATTGTGAGGCCGCCTCGAACGTCCGTAATATCTGGCGGTAGATCGCGACCTGGACGCTCGAGAGCCAAGACCATGCTGGGAGAAGATACATAGTGTATACCTGCAGTAGTACGCGGCGGTGTATGGTGTGTGAGTGATGGAGGCCGCGGCGGGGCAGATGGACTGAAGCCAGAGCCACACACCTTCGGAGTCTGGTCCTGGAGCCATCGATATTTGGTCTCATATATGGTAAGTCTGTGTTTATGGCCTTGATGTGGCCATGGTGGGCCATGGTGGGCCAGTGAGCCGGCCACCAGGCCCTAGGGGCTGGCAGGGACCAGCAGGGGTCAACTGGGGACCTGTGGTCAGTGTTAAATCTCGTCCCTACCTTTACTGTAAACTGGGTCACACTTGTGTAAACTTGGTTACTCTACAGTATATAAGATGGTTTGCATTCATCTGTGTAAATCGGGTTACTTTTTCTCATTGTAAACTGGGTTAGTCCAATTCCTTGTAAACTGGGCTGCTCATTTGCTTTGTAAACTTGGCCTACCTGTAAACTTGTAATCTTTTAGGTGTTTACATTCAGAAGTTCAAACTTATTTATTATTTGGAAACTTAATGAGAGGCGAATGTGGTTAGCAAATAATTTTTTGTTAGAGTATCTGAGATTTCTTAAATTAGCACATGAAGCCTATTTATTTATTTATTTATTTATTTATTTATTTATTTATTTATTTATATTGTACAAGAGTTTTTACATTCTTGTACAGCCACTAGCACGCATGGCGTTTCAGGCAGGTCCTTAATCCTTGAGCCTATATATCAAACTTTACCAGATGCTTAAACTATAAAATGTTGATCGTACCCATAAAGTATGTATCATGGTCAGGGATTTATGCAATTTTAATGAGAATAGTTTTAAATTTAAAAATTTTCAGTTACATTCCCTTGTTGTAATATTTGATTTTTTAAATATACAGAACAACAAATATCTGGTTACTTAGTAGATACAGTACTGTATTTGTTTTGTAATGTCATTAATTACGCACAGTGTTTGGGGGACAACTCTAGATCAGCATTTCTCAACTGGGGTTCTGCAGATTCCTGAGGTAACTAGCTGTTCTGCAAGAGATAGTGATAAATAGGCTAATTCTAATCATATGCAAATGTATTTTTTGGTTAATTTTTGTGTTCTCTTTTTCATATTTAACCAGTATCAAGAAGACAGAAATCATATCCTTTCAGTTGACAATGAAATCTGAGTGTTTAAAGTATAACCCAGAATTATTTCTAGGGTACAAAGGTTGAGAAATGTTGCTCTAGTTAATGAGTGTATTGAGTTTAATTGTAGTATGTGATAATGGTGTCTGGTGTTATTTTGCCTAAATAATATTTCCTATCTTATCTTTTGTCCATACAAGAAACCCAATAAAAGGCTACTGTATGCATTGGCATCGTGTTGAACTCTCATTGATGAGCAGACACACTAACAACTGTTCTGTTTTTATACGTGTGCTAACTAACCCTTCAGTGAAGCTTGCTAAACTGATGAAAATATTCCTTTGGATTTATATTTATAAATACTACCATTATATGAACTGTAGCATTGTTATATTTCTTTGAATGGAATACTTTTATGATAATGTTAAATACTGTAATTTAAATATTCATTTTATGAAACGAGTTAAAAATTTGAAGTCGTTTCTTATCGAGCTTTTACCACAATCCTCAATAGTTAATCTCCATTCCTTCACTTTATATAAAGCAGAGAATCAGTATTTACCCTTAAACTGCACAAAACATCATATGATGTATTGAGTAACTTGCTATAAATTGTGCATCACGTCATAAGACGTGTTGGAGTACTACGCAAGATTTAAACGGCCCGCGGATACATGGGGTTCACCTCGCCTTCATCAGGGCTCTTGTAAATAGACGCCTTTTTTTTTTAAGTCGTGGGCCAAATTCCCGGGTGTGAGGGCCTCAGTACTGAGTGATCCACCAAGCTTGATGCATGCAGCATGAGTTTACAGCACTGCTGTTCAGCTTGTGACCACAGCATCGACTAAAAATGCCATAATATATATGTTCATGCTATTATTTAGCGATGATAGTATTACAGAAGACCCCTGACTGTGATTAAAAATGACCAGGATTCTGATAACAGAAGGATTGTTGTGATAATTAGCACTGTAGTGGGAGGAGTAATCTAGGTGGGGATGGAGGTAGCATTGTCTGCTGATTCCGTGTGACCATCTTTTACTGTCTGGACTCACTATACCAACTTAGTTGTTTGTTATGGTTATCAAAATGTGCAGATACTTATATATAACATCTGTATATAGTGAATAAAAGCAAAAACTGTATTGTGGGAGGAGAATGGTGGTGAGTCAGGTGAGGTGAAGGAAGGAGGAAGTGACAGCCAGTGGCGGGCTGCCACTGGCTGCCACTGCCACTCAGCATACCAACTTGATCGTTATGGTGAACATGAATGTAGATACTTATATATAACGTGTATATACAGTGTAATAACAGCAAAAGGAGTGTGCGGGAGAAGCCGTTTTGGTGATGGGGGTGGCAACATCTGCATGATTTGTCATGTTGGTAGGGGTGGCCACTATGCTCTTTGGGCACTATACTGGCTTGGTTGAACAGTTATATATAGACACACACATATAGTGTGTGTCTTGAGATGAGATGATTTCGGGGCTTTAGTGTCCCCGTGGCCCGGTCCTCGACCAGGCCTCCACCCCCAGGAAGCAGCCCGTGACAGCTGACTAACTCCCAGGTACCTATTTACTGCTAGGTAACAGGGGCATTCAGGGTGAAAGAAACTTTGCCCATTTGCTTCTGCCTCGTGCGGGAATCGAACCCGCGCCACAGAATTACGAATCCTGCGCGCTATCCACCAGGCTACAAGGCCATATAGGGTAATAACACCACAAATGGTATTGTTGTGGTGAAATTTTAGTGCGTCTGACTTTGAATGTGTGAGGGAGGCAGCCGCTAGCTGACCGTGTGTAGCGACGTCTCTTAGTGCCTGAACTAACTATATCAACTTAGTTGTACAGTTATGGTGAACAAAACATGTAGATACTTATATATAATGTCTGTATATAGTGAATAAAAGCAAAAACAGTTTGGTGGGAGGAGAATGTGGGCGAGTGAGGTGTTGAGGGAGTGAGTGGCAGCGAGTGGCTGGCTGGTGTGTGGCGGTCACTCCTCGTTGCTTTTTGACTCATAATACCAACTCAGTGGTTCGTTATGGTGAACAAAACATGCAGATACTTATATATAACCTGTGTATATAGTGTAATAACCGACAAAGTATTTGTTCACTGTTTGATGAGCATAATAATAGAATCAACAATATGCACACCATAATTTTGAGTACAGTGATGATTCACACATTTTATTATATAAATATATCACACTACACACTATTGAATAATATTACAGCAAAAAACTACAAAAAATCAATCAGAGACATTGAAATAATTAGGTAATTATCTCTTTGTGGCCACTCCTGCCTGACAGCTGGGGAGGAGCAGACCTCCTGGGACGCTTGCTGAGTCAGCGTCTGTTTTTTGCCAGACTTCCCCGCCCTATAGCGGGCAATCTATGCCACTGATTTTTTTTATTATTTTTCCCATGATCAGAGAACACAAATTAACAGGTTTAGAAGAATTTTTTTTTTTGGTATGTGCCTGTGGCTGACAAATTGCCCTGAGCAACACAAGGGTTAACGGAGTAAAATATGCACTGGAAAGCGTTTTGAGCAGATCTATTGATTTAGAAATATGTTATGTTCAAAATGTTTAACCTAAACCTTTTGTTTCTCTTTAGATGTCTTACATATTTATTTATGGAAAAACCTATTTTAAGTTACTGATCTCCTGGGGGTTTAATTTTGTGCCAAGCTGTAGGTAAACAAATTGTTTTGTTGGGAGTGACCAGCATTATCATTGTTACTTTTACTAGCCAAAAACATTACACTTTTAAAATGGTTAAATTTGCAGAAATTTCATTCTTTGCTTAAATTATAAGGACATATAAATATTCAACGTACTATATTTCAGAGTAACACACAATGTTAAGATGACCGTCGACAGTGGTGGTGGAGGTATGGGTGGCGGCTGCGACACCGTCGTGGACACCGAGGCTCACGAGAAGGAGATGCATGCACGCCTCATAAACTACCACACATCCTTCAGCTCGCAAGGTAATATATTTTATAGGTTCAGCAGTACTGGAAGTTCTTACCCACAAGTTAAATATACAGGAATTGAAAATGTAACAAATTCTGTGCTGTTCTAAGATTTATTGTGACGGGATGGATTCTTTGAGGAACATTGAGTAAACATCCTAGGTGTTATATATTCTATCTTCAGTGGTAAAGGTGATGAAATATTTCTTTAATATTAACATCTTATGCTCTGCCAGTCACAGGCACAAACAAATTAGTCATAGTTTAATAATACGTAACCATGTAACCCTTTGTTTTTCTGGAAAGCTAGTGTATAATAAATGTATTTGCGCTTGATTACTAGTACTGATTTACAAACACTGAGAAAGAGATTACTGTAGGGAATCTTGAAATTGCCTACTACCTCAATAGCAAAATTTGTTTATCATATGTCATTCTCCTTGATGCAGATTATAGTAAATTTCTACCTTCAGCGGTTTTCGAGTATCTTCACGGTGTCTTGAACATAGTGAACTCGACCGTGTTAGTTACCAGAAATCATATATCCAGATCAGTTAACTAGTCTGCTCTTATTCTTCCAATGTCAACTTGTCTTCTGTTTTGAAGTTATGAATATATATATTTCTGTATTTCTATACTGTACTTTGGACTTCGCCTCACCAACATAATTGTTTAATGCCATCTAACATTTAAATTGCTTGAAACTTTGGAAAATGGCTGTATTATGCCTTGCATGTTGCTCGAGATATTGCCAACCCAGCTAGGGAAAAGATGTTCAGTAATAGTGAAGAGGCTAGAACAAGGTGTTTATAAATAAACATATTAATAAGCTCTGGAGTCAACATCACTGATCAAAGGAGATACGAAAGTTTATATCCCTCATTGGCTGGATAATTGCAAACTAGTTGGGCTTCTTCTGAGGAGATGGAAGGGTCTACACTATACCGGCTTAGATTATACACTATACCGGCTTAGATTATACACTATACCGGCTTAGATTATACACTATACCGGCTTAGATTATACACTATACCGGCTTAGATTATACACTATACCGGCTTAGATTATACACTATACCGGCTTAGATTATACACTATACCGGCTTAGATTATACACTATACCGGCTTAGATTTAATTAAACATTAACATTTCTTCCTTAGGGAAGGTTCAAATTTAATAGTATACATGGCTTAAGAAAGTGTCCCGGTAATGGCATAAATCTTGGGTACCTTCGGCAAGTGTCTTCTAATTGATGTTCAGCTGCACTACTTTTACTACATGGTTTTTAGTCAAAATTTTAAGTGTGTAATTATTCAGGTCTGTTTTGTACGACACTGAGAGGTGGGTGCATAATGAGATTGCTAATTTACCTCATCATAATTAGCTTATTTTAGTTATTTATAATGCCTTGTTGCTGTTATTTTAAGAAAAATTACCATAAGCCCTTACAAAAATGATTTTCCACTTGAACTGAAATGTTAAATTATAATTTTATACTTGGATGTGATGTGTGAGACATAAGTTTGTATAGGAAGTATACTACTGGTAATTCTTGGGCAGGGATTCTGTTTATATTGGTTTGATTTTTTTTCTCTGGGTTTATGATTGTATTATCTACTTTAATCTTCTATCATTTGAATTATAAGGGTCTTTACTTTGTTCACCGATTTGATTCCTAGTTTTCGAGCAGCTGAAATGCATGCTTCATTTAATTTTACAGTACTTTAAAAGGGTGAAGTGTTTTGATTGATTAGACAATAAAACAGCGGGGATACAAACAAAGAAAATTGTTTCCTGCATTATTTAACATTTTGCTGGAGCACTCTAGGAGTAAATATACTTTTCTGCGGGGAGCCCCGTCGTCTCCCTGAAGCTATCAAACTGACATGTGCCATAGTTTGGTGCCATCAGTCCCTGGAGTTTGTGTGCCTACTGGGGGCCACGGGCCAGAACCTGGCACCCTCAGAGAGGCCCAGGGAGCTATATCAATATGAGCACTCTACATTTAGAGTTTGTCATGTCTGCCATTGATTGAGGATTCCACCCAGAAAGGTAGGTGAAACAATAGAAACCTCTTAACTGGTTAAAATTGCAACCTACGTCTGAATAGAGATAAAGAACTCTCTCCCCCCAAAGAAAACAGTGAAACCAAGTAAAAATCATCCAACTAGCACACCCTCTGCGTGCTCCCCCTCCCCTGATAGGGGGAAAGTGGGAGCTCGCTCAGGCGAGCTGGCTGCACCACCCAAAGTTCGTTGACCGACTTGCCGGTGTCCACAAGTTTCCTCTGGCTTTAAATTATTGTTTAGTTTTGGTGTTTGTGGCTTTGCCAGCTATGTGTAGTGGTGCCCAGGTATTCTTTAAATACATTGGGCTGCATGCACCTAGGGCTATCTTTCCTAGGTGCCTGGTAAGTGTCCCTTGCATGTCAGGGTTCTCTTCCCTGGGACATTCGGGTCTTGCTCCCATTTGAGGGCTTCGTTGCTTGGAATTTGTTCTTGCCCTTGGGGTACGTTGGGGTTCTTGGGCTTCCCATCTTGCATCAGGTAGGGAGTGGGTTTTTGCTGTGGGGCACAGCTTGCATTCTGTGGCTGCAGACAATTCTCTCTGGGGATAGGTTGGTTTGTGTGTGTTGCTCTGGGGACCTTTTTGTTTTGTTTGTTTTCTTGGCACGTACTCGCTTATTTTGGCAGAGGTCTGCCTAGCTTACCATTAGGCTAGCCTAGGTTGTATTGGTGGCCCTCCTCTGTTTCCCCGAGGTTTTACGATGACCGTCAGTTATCATTTTGTCTGCAGCAGACAGGGGTTACCGGCCTAGCTGGCCCCAGTGCCTGGGCTTCTCGTAGTCCTAATGCACCATGCAGGCCCTGGAAAACCCCATTGGGCTTAGGGGTACCATGGATGTGTCTTCCGAGATGCTCTCCTTGTGCGATACTGAGGGTTGTTCTTTGCCTCTGCCTTGTGACGATCATCCATCCTGCCACCGTCATGCTGCCTATTGGGTCGGAGACACCTATGACCCTGAATTTTGCAGGAATTGTTCTTCGCTTATTATTCAGTTTATCCATTCCTTGTCTGAGGATGTTAGGGGTCAGGCAGCAGCTTTGTTGCATGCTGGGTATTCTTTGTTGCAATGAGCCAGGTTGATTGCCCAGTAGGAAGCCAGAAATTAGGAGGTGTTGGTTACTTCAACCTTGGTTCAGTCTGTGCCCTTGCTTCCTTCCCAGGTGGGTGTCGTTTGCCCCGCTCTTCTCCCCTCTGCTTCTGGCTCCCAGACGTCTGAGGGTTTCGGGGTCAGGGCTGGGTTTAGCTTGTGATGAGGCTCGGGTAGCTTCAGGGGGTTGCCCCTTCCAACTCGAGAACAGATATTGACCTCAATTTCCCTGCCAAGGCTTCGGAGTCGGCCCAGCAAACTCTTCACTTTGAAACTTTTCCCCAGGATTCTGCCTTTTCTTCAAGGGTGGTGTAGGTGGATATGGGCTCTACCCCAGGGCCTATGTTGGGAGTTCCTGGGCACAGGGAAAATCTGCTTGGCGTGCTTGGATTCTTGTTGATCCAGCCTGGGGCCCATGTGCCTTCTGGGTAGGGTTTGTTGCAGGACCTGGGGTTTTCTTATCCTCCATCTGTGTATGAATTTGAGTTGGGTGCGGCTCCCCCATCTCCCCCGGGTTCATTTTCGGGTGCCTTTGGGTTCCTCGGATACGGCCTTCCAAAGGCTTCCTTCCTCTCGGATTTTCCCTGCGGAGGTTCGGGAGGCCTTTGGTGAGTACCTCCTGCAAGACCCAGTTTACGCCTCTATAATGGATTTGTCTAACATAGAGTTCGATTCTTCTTCCCCTGTTTTGGGTGCGTTACGAGGTTCCGGAGTCTTCCTGGCTGGCGGACTGCCCTTTCTTCTCTTTGAGAGCTTGGTGCGGGTTTTGCTGGACCCCTCACACTTGAGTGGCAAGAAGTTTCCTCAGTGTTGCAGGTGTTCTTGTGGAGCTCTTTAGAATTCCTTAATGAGTGCCTCTTTGCTTCTGCACCTTCCCATGATGTGGGTCTTGAGCAGTTAAATACTTGGGTCCCCCTCTTTCTTTTGGTTGCCTTGGCGGCAGATGACTTTAGAACTCGTGGTCATTTGGCTTCGGTCATCTTGAGCTGTTTTCGGACTGGTTTTTGGAGGATGTGGAGACGTTGAGTGGAGGCCTTCAGCCAGAGTTCTGGTTTTGGCTGCCCTGCTGAAGCTGTTTGCACCAATCCTCTGGGAGGTGATGTCTATGTTTTTTTTTTCTCTTGTCTTGCGTGTCAGCATGCCATCCTCACTCTCTTTAGACTCAGCTTGGGCCCCTGGCTTTGCAGTCTTTGTCTCCGTTTTGTCCTGTTATTTCCTGAGGACTGTGTTACTCAGTTTTTGTTGGTGGCTTCTACCAGTTGCCACCCCATTTCTAATTTGTTGGTGTTCGGGGGGAGGGGGGGGGAGCATTCTAGCTTCTGTCGAGGTGGTCGTGCCAGGGCTCAGGTTTTAGTAGCTCGAGGTAGGCTATTGGTGCCAGTTTCGGACCTCGTGCATCCTCCTGGGCCTTCTTCGTCTGGTCGGCACGGTGGTTACTCTGTACGGAAGTCGGCTTCTCAGAGGTCGTGGTCGGATCTTTCACTGGGCGATGGGGGGGGGGGAGGTTTGGTTGCTGGCGTAGTTTGCTCATGCTTAGTCCCATGATTTGTGGGCTTTTCACGTCGTCTCTTCCGGCCTTTAGTGGCATTGGGCGGCTCCTCCCCCTCTGTCCCTTTTGTTGGGGGGTTCGGAGCTGGCAAAGCAGGCTTCTTCCCTGTCCGTCAGGTCATCTTGGAGTGGATTCGCTTGGGCGTGGTCGAAACGACTTCGTCTCTCAAGCAGGTTTCTCGCTTGTTTCCAGTTCTGAAATGGGACTGTGTGGATCTTTGGCTCATTCTGGACGTGTTCTGTCTAAACTGTTGGATTCCTTGCCTCTCCTTTCAGATGATTACATTGTCCCAGGTCTGTTTTCTTCTCGAGC